AAAGAATCATATTTTTTTTCCAAATCATCAAAGAACGTAACGGCAGATCCGAACCGCAAAAAGCAAGTTTTAACGAAATAAAGTCTTTGCAAATCCGTATCTCCCAATCAACCGTAAATCAGGATGGAAAAAGAGAAAAATCCATAAAAATCGTTTCAATAACTTCAGCAGACAACATCATTCGAAATAGGAAAGTTTTAAAAATAAAACTTAATTGCAGTCTCCAAACGGAGTATAAAAGAAGAAGAGGGACAACAAGCTCAACCTGGAAAATATCGCCATCGGAACCAAAAGCTCGAAAACGAAATCCCCAGCATCAAAAAACTCAGATTACGAAAATCACCATCATATTCACAAGCTTCAAACCGAAAACCACAAAAAAGCTCAGATCGCGAAAACACCATCATAGCCGAAGCTCAGACTGTTTTCACGTCATCATCGCAACCCACGAGCTCCGGAAACAACCGTCATCGCCTCAAACAGAGCAACAAGCCGTTTCGCGCAAAAAAACCATTTTCGAATCACAAACCCACGAGCAGGTCGCGAGCAAACCCGAAATATTTTGTCACAAAATCGCAACCGTAAGCCATCATTATCACCATCTTTGCATTCTTGATTTTTTTTCCAGGTTCCAGACGGAGGAAAAGAAGAGATTAGTTTAACGTGCAGAGAAGAATAAGCATAAAAAATGGCGGATGAAAGGAAAAGAGACGAAGAGAATATAAGAAAACGCTGAGAGAGAGAGAGAGAGAAGGGAGAAATGGTCAAGCGGCGGAAATGGGGGGATGGGCCTAGGGTTTTGTTCTTTTATTTTGTTGTTGTAATCATGTATGTGCACCCCACACACACTATAGTACACCACACACATGCACCCGCCTGATCTCCAACAAATCCACATCCAACGCTCCACAACGCAGCTCTACCATAGACCCTCATAACCTCACGCGCACCCAACCATACGCCTAACCCTTCATTTTCTTTAAATCTTTAATTTAATCCAATTTATTAAACAAACCACTAATCTGTCTTTAATTTTTAATTAACCCACTCAATCTTTTTTTATCTAATTAACCTATTTAATCAACTTTAAATTAACTTAATTTAATCTAACCTATTTAATTAACTAATTATTTTCATAATTAACCTTTTTTTTAAAATAATAATAGCCCTTTTCCTTTTTAAAAATTAAACTATATTTCTAACTAATTTGTTTGTTTTTTTAATACTTTTTTTTTATAAATTAAGATGTTTAATTTATTCCATCAACCTTAATAACCTCTTTTAATAATTCAATTTAATCTAATCTAATAAGACTCTATTTTCTTATAAATTAAAATTATTCGTTTATTTAATAAAAAAACTTTTTTAATTAACTTTCATAACTAACTTTTGTTTAATAAAAAATCTATTATTAATATTAACCAAAACACCATAATGATAATAAGCTTTTTTTTTTCTTTTTTTTTATCTAATCTAACTATTTATCCATTTATAATAAATCTTTTATAAGAAAAACTCTTTTAATTGAATCAAAATAATTTACACCAATGACCCCAACTTTTGATCATCGGACTAATAATCTTTTTTATATAACAAACCCTTTTTATAAAATATTAAATCTTATCTTCATAATTAACCTAATAAACAATTTTTATTAAAATTGAACAATTTCTCTTTTTAAATAAAATAAACCCTTTTAGAATCCTTTTAGTTGATTTCTGTTTAGAACTTAGTTCAAACTTTTAGTAAATAAAACTAATAAATTTAACTTAACTCCCTTGCAACTCAATCCACGACACACTCGTTTAGAACTTAGTTCAAACTTTTAGTAAATAAAACTAATAAATCTAACTTAACTCCCTTGCAACTCAATCCACGACACCCTCACGTTTTAGCACCGATTCAATTTAAATATTTGCACAACCCCGCTCTTTCTGCTTGTCTTGCGTTTATTCGTTGCATGGATTTATTTTATTTATTTATTTTTACTGTTATTTATTTTATCGCATTGCATGTCCAAAGAAAGAACTCATGTATGACTTCTTTAAGTTGTACACGTTGCATCTCATCTTGCATCATAATCCCCCACTTGATCTTTGATCCTTTTCAAGTTGATCATTTTAAGTTAGTTTCTACCCCTTAAGGAGAACCTTTTTCTTTTACAACATAGATAAACCATTCAATTCAACTCAATTCAAATTATTCTCCCTATTAGAGAATAAGATGTTAGTCATCTTGACAGTCGAGATGTAAGTCTCCTGTCCCATAACACAAATCGAGTGATGTAGATCTTTTCCGCTTGAGAGAGATAGTGACATACTCGTCGACAATCCGAGTGTTTGAGCCCTTCTCTCAAGACGATGCAAAGACCATCTCCTACAAGTTGTAGTGGTTAAGTCAAGTGTTCTCCCTTGAGATGACGACTCGTCTTTTCTCCTAGAATCAATCAACAACCCTTATCCCTTTGGAACTATGACCCACATTTAAGAAGTTTCTCAAACCCTTTTGGGGAACTACAAATACTCTGATTCCATTCCCGTCAAAATATGTAGGCACAAGATGCGACATCTTGGCGAGTATACTCAAAAATAAACCCCTAGGTTTCACCCTTAGAGTACTACAGAAACTTAGGATGCTAGCACCTTCCCTAAATTTAACCAACCCCCGAGCCTTTAACTCTCTAGCTTTTGCATTTGCGTTACATTGTGGTAATTCGATCTTTTTCCCTTTCTTTGAACAAATAAAAAACCGGTGGTGAACTAATGAATTAAAATTCAAATTAATTAATATTTGACATCCAATTCTCACCGCGAAGTCGCCATTTTTAATAAAAGACTTTGGATTTTTACTCCTTCATTGCTATCAATGATTTTACAAGAGTGAGTTGCGAGTTGAAATGTTGTTGCTTTTTGTTTAATTGTACTTTAACTTGTAAAAAATCTATGTATGACTATGCACTGATTTATTAGAAGTGTTATATATGAAATATGTTCCATTTCACTTCAGTTGCCTCATAATATCTGTAATTCTTGATATATATATATATATATATATATATATAACTCTTGGTGGTTTGGTTTGAATATTAATAAAGTTGAATTTTTCTATAAAAAATAAAACTGTGATTGGAACGGGATAATTGGACAATTTAATAAATGAAGCAGAACTGAATTTTTTTTACCTTTCTGCCACAAATACGAAATTTAAACATCAAAATGCCACAGGTTAAAAATAATTTTTTAAAATGCCACACATTTAATATAAGCTCGTCCAATCAATAATCGAGCTGTGAAAATTCTTTTGCCATGTCATTTCACAATATATATATATATATATATATATATATATATATATATATACAATATATATATATATATATATATATATATATATATATATATATATATATATATATATATATATATATATATATTTTTTCAAAGGTTCAACCAATGGATGAACGAATCCATAAAAGGAAAAAAAATATATTCTAAAGCTCGGCTATTGATTGAAAGAGTCCTTATTAAATATGTGGCATTTTTGAAAATTATTTTCAATTGATGGCATTTTAGTATTTAAATTTCAAACTTGTGGCAGAATAGTAAAAAAATCGCAGAACTGAGCTCTAATAAATGAAGCAGAACTGAGCTCGGGTATATCATCCCAACCTGTCCACAACAGCAAACCAACTCAACAATTCTTGATATTCTAGTGCTGCTCAAATCTTTTTGTTTCTTTGCATTCAAGCATTTTATGTTATAATTGAAAAGTCAAAAGACATAAACAACAAAGCACATGATCAAGTAATTCAAGAGGATAAACAAACATCAGCAATCAAAGTTTCTTAGAATAAGTCCATGAAAACAGTGCATCAAGTTATTACTTTATCCAGTATATTATGAAAAAAATGAACGGAGACTTAATTAAGAAACACATAATCGGGTAAATAAACAAACCATGTGCATAATTTCTGAGTTTTGAAGCCTTATACTAACATGAAAAGATGTATGTATTCCAAAACACAAAACCGAATGATGAAACTAGATATTATAACAGTAAAACGAAAACATAGAACAAAAGACACGGATCAAGTAGAGAGAAGGGTGAAAGGAAAATTCACAGAACAAAAAGAACAGTCAGAGGAAAGAAACTGCATTTATTTCACAAGTGATGGGAAAAAAGTGTAACCTCAATGAGGGCTACTAAACTTAAATAGTGGAAAGAGGTATGGCTTCTAAGGCATATTGTAAAACGAACTGAGCAGATCAGAGCAGTGGAGTGGAATGGAGTGTAAATAAAGCAATTTTGGCATTCTGTCCAAATCGGAAGTGGGAAGGTAAAAAAATGATGCAAAATAATGGAATGGACCTTTTTAATTAATCCAAACAAAATAACATAGATTTATATCATTCCATTCCAAACCTACCTGAGGACTCGTTCACCCATTATAGCAAGTCCCATAAAAAAACCTCCACATATACCAATATCATGAGGGTTACATGATAATAGTGATAATATCAATTCAGCCTGATAATTGTCATTATATAATTGAGACTAACAATAGGTATACATTTCAATATATTGTCATCTAATTGATATGAATATTAAGAAAAATTAAACTGACTATAACATCTCAAATATATATAATATAAGATCTCTCCATCTAAAACCCTTCAAAATCTCCATCCCAAACAAGCCCTAAATAGGGATCATTACATTGGATTAACAAAGCAACCAAATAAGTGATTTTGACTTCACCACTCGCTTCACTTGTATATCATACTAACATAAATTTCTATCAAATGTGATTCCCCGATTAAACACCAATTTTTAGAAAAGATTACTATCAAGTATCACCATAATTGTATATTATTAAATAAAATGTCATCCAAAATTGAATAACCAGACATGATCAACATATGAAAAGTTTACGGGAATTTACAACTTTTCTAATACATTGGTGCTATTGCCTATTGTTGATACAGTACAAACCATACCTTTCAAGAGGGAGAGGAAGAAGATGAAGAAGAAGATGGAAACACATCTTTAACAGCAGAAGCAGCAGATAAGTAATTAAGCGTATTCTTCAAAGTTTCTTTCTCCCTCGCCAATCTCGCAGCAGTATCTTCCAATTCCAACAAAGCCTGTTGCTCTCTAGGCGCGCCTTCAAAAGTGCTTCCAACAAAAAACGAAAACGGCGTCGGAAACAAGTTCCTCCTCAAATCACCAACCTCTTTCTCCGCTTTTCCACCTAACCGATTCGATAACCGAATAACATCTTTCATATACGTCTCCACCTCGTTCGCCAAACCGTCAACATCCACGTCAGCAGACGGAGAAGGCCGATCCTCCAACCACGCCACACTCGCCACAAGGTAGGGTTTCGTCCGAACAACTTTCTTGACACGGAAACGCTCCTGACCTTTACAGATCAAGAAGAATCGATCATCGACAAGTCTCTCATGTTTTATAACTTCTCCAACGCAACCGACTTCCGCCGTTCCAGTAACGGCATCGGTGTAGATAACACCGAATCGGAGATCCGTATGGAGAAGCGTATGCATCATGACACGGTAGCGAAACTCGAAGATCTGGAGAGGGAGAATCGCTCCGGGGAAGAGAACCAACGGAAGAGGAAACAGAGGTAGTTCCGTTACGTCATCTTGATTAGGAGAGTTAGCGTTGTTGTTCTCCGGGTAAGACGAGGCCGAGCATCGGAGAAGTGAAGTATCCTTACGGCGGCGAAATTGGCGGAGAACGTTAATACGCGGCGGCGTAGGTGTTGAGAATGGAATTTTAGGGTTTAACAAAAGTGGAGTGAGATTTAACAAAGGGTTGTACGGTAGAAAGGAAGATGCTGGTGAAGAGATAAGGTGTGGAATTGGGAATGCCATTTCCAAAGTTAAGAACAGAGAGAGTGAAAAAAAAAAGAGAATCGAATTAATCGGAGAAACTATAGGTTAAAATTTTATGAATGTGTGGTCGTTAGAACTTCCACTTAGTCATTCACCATTGTCATATGTCAAATTCAATCACAGTCACTATAGTTTCCAAATTGAATTATTTTGATTAAATCACAGTCACACCCCTATTGAAAAAATCACAAAAATGAAGACGAAGGTGTTGGAATGTGAAGATATGTGGATGAGATGATAATAATAATATGGATTTTTGATTTCGCACGTGGCTCTGGATATTCCACGTGTGAATCTCGATCGTTATTTGTAATTTAATTTTTCTCTCTCATGAATGAGGTCAGATGATAAGCCCAGATTCATTCTCTTTGGGCTTTGGCCCAAATCCAGAATTAAAAAATCGCCGACCAAAAAAAAATCAGAATAATACTCGAATCAGAATTACACACGTTGTTTGTGTTCATACTTCACGCGTCACGCGCTTTTTCTTGTGTTATGTCATTGCTGATGACAGGTACATACTCTGACGAATTGAAATGTGACACGTGTATCTAGAAGGCGCGTAGAGCTTGTTTTCGTGAGTTTTTATTTTTATTTTTTTATAGACCAAAAATGGACGAGTCACGGTGTTATATTTATTTATTGAAAATCTTACAGTATATAAGAAGTATCAGCGTTGGATTTAGGATCATAACAAATCAAAGAGAAAATTAGATATTTGAAAGAAGAAGCGTTATTTTCGAAGAAGAAAGAGGGAAATGGCGGAAGAGGGACAAGTTATCGGTGTTCACACCGTGGAGGCTTGGAAGGAACAGCTCAAGAAGGGAGATGAGTCAAAGAAACTGGTTAGTCGGTTATTTACCTCAAATTTCCTCTTTTTTTTTTTGCGTTTTTATTTCGTAATTATACTCGCTCTAGTTTTTTTTTTAATGCGCTCTTGATTCGAATGCTATTGTTGATGCATGAGTTTGATCCGTTAATTGATGTATCTAAATAATGATGTCATGGCTTGGAAATTTGGTGTTAATTTTATGGATTTTGTAAGAAGTGAAGTTAGGGTTTAGAAGATAGAGAGGGATTTTGGTTTTGTTTGTTTGTATGTGAAATATTTTGAGTAAAAGAAGGTATAAAATGGTAACTCAGTTCAGTTTATGAAAATTTTGATATCAGCTTCAGCAAACCCCTTTTTTATATACCAACCTGAAGTTGCAGTTTCTTCTTAGAATTTTAACTGCTATGTTTATTGTGTTAACATGTTATTGTATATGATTTGTGATGCTATAAAATTGTTTTTTTTCTTAATTTCAAAGTACTAAAAGGAAATTATATTGACAGATTGTGGTTGATTTTACTGCTTCTTGGTGTGGTCCATGCCGTTTCATTGCTCCAATTTTGGCAGAGATTGCTAAAAAGCTTCCACATATCACTTTCCTTAAGGTTGATGTGGATGAATTGAAGGTGAGCGATATCTAAATCTATCACATAACATTGTTATTGTTTTTAATCTTAAATGCATTAGTGCTTTTTTTAAACCAAGAATCCTGCAACTAATTTCATTGATTTCTTCAGGTTGTTTCTGAGGAGTGGGGTATTGAAGCTATGCCAACATTCCTCTTCTTGAAAGAAGGAAAAGTTGTGGACAAAGTTGTGGGTGCTAAGAAGGAGGAGTTGCAATTGAAAATTTCCAAGCATGGTGCTGATCCTTCTACTGCTACTGCTTCTGCTTGAAGGGTCATGTGATCGAAACTTTGTTTATTTTGAGTCAGTTTGCATTTTATATTAAGTCAGTTTGGCTGTTTTCGGTATGTATTGGAATTTAGAAATGTAGAACATAGCATGGTTGGATATGTGAATAAAATCTTTGTGTGGTAGTACTTGAAACACTTGGGCTAATGAATTTGCATTATGTTGAAACACTTGGGCTTATTCTGCATCCATGGATCCCATTTTGATTGGATGCAGCACTTCAATGATTTTTTTATATTAAAATTGCAGGATATTCCTAGTTCTTATATTATTTGGTGCAGCTGTTGTAAAATCCGTCCATGATGGTGATGAATGATTTTAGATTAACATTTCAATATAGCTAGTTACGTGAAATTTTTTCAGTATTTTTCTTTATAAATTTAACTTTTTTTCTCTATTGTAGTGAAAAATAAAAATAAAATTGTACTATGATAAAAATAAAATTGTACTATGATGAGCTTATACTTAAATCTTAGATCAAATTGGATGGTAAGTCATATAATAGAATGCTCTGTTCCATCTGGTTATTTTAACTGCACGAACTACAGTCACCTACTGCATAAGCCATCCAATATCTTCCTATGCTTTGTCCATTGGTCCACACGTGGCCCTTGCCCATACTTTCCAGGTCCAAAGGCAACGGTTCGTTTCCCTCGGATACGCCTGGAGATTTGAAGTTTATTACAAGCTTCTAGAGGAAAATCACAACAGATTATGGATAATGCAATAAGCTAGTTACTTTACTGTGTTACCTTGTGCCATTTTAGTTGTGACCGGCTTCGGATAGCTAGTGAATCTCGGACCCAATCAACAGATGAGACCTCATTCGGCAACGCCAAATATACAGCCTCTCCTTTAAGGCCAACCTGTTCAAAACATGATTTAATTAAAAATAATTTCTCTTCACATTGATTGAAGTTTAAGAATGCATAGATCATATTATTTTTTCTTCTGTGTGCTGCATCAGACCTGATAAGACCATTTGTTATGCGTCAAATCTTTCGGGACCATGTAGCAAAACGGGATTGGTGATTCCTGCCTCCCATGTTTCATAATGCCGACCAGTGTTCCTGCCTCCCATGTTTCATAATGCCGACCAGTGTTCTTCAAATATAAAATGTCAAAAGCAAAATTTGTTTCTAGTGTTCTTCAAATATAAAATGTCAAAAGCAAAATTTGTCAGAAACAAGCAAATGAGAACAACTAATGCTTAAGTTCAAGATGGATTTAGAAGCAAGTTATTAAGTACTAACCTGCAATCCAACAGTTACGCTGAAAAGAGTGACCCTTTAAAAGAAATCAGTCATCTTCACTTAACTCGGAATCAGTAAACAAATAAACCGATTACCGTGTTTTAACTGTATGTTTGCATACCTAAAAAATGTCCATTAACATACACATGGACAACATGTCCTGCAGACTGCACATTAATGCTCGGTTTGTGTCCTCGAAGAAATGATTTTGATGAGCTTATGTCAACACTACAGCAATGTCAACCAAATAATGTAAGATTTCAAATGCTGAGAACTGCGAATGTTGATCAATAACAAATTCTGTGTACCATAGAAGATAGATCTTACCTGGTTATGTACTATAGATAATCACTGGTGTCTTCGTAACGTTCAGATGTTCCAAGAGTCCAATAGCTGTAATCCTTGACCTTTCGTCGAGAGAAGATAGATCTTCATCATAGGTCTCCCACGAGAACCTAGAATCGACATGAAGCATTTTCACCACTGAAGTTTGAGTTCTCACCTTCATGAAGACATAACAATCCAGTCAAAAACTTGATTGATGCAATTCGGTTGCATTTTATCAACATGACGTTAAAGGTCCTGCAAAATATTCTTACTTTTGCGGTATTAAATACGGAAGTTCTGCAATCGAGAAGGATGCTTATGGACCACGGAGGCAAGTCATAGTGCTTATTATTGAAAATTACGCTAGCAGCAGACTTTACATGATAGTTTGCGAGAAAAGTTGCACATCCTGCAGTTCCTGCAGAGAATACATGAGCCTGGTGTCGCTACTGCGAAAAACAACTGGCGAAAAAAACAGAAGAGTCGCCACTTTCGTTATTTATCCCAAAGAGAGGGAAAAGAAACGAACGCAAAAACCTAAAAAAAAAGGGAAAGACAAGGTCATCGCAACCATGTTTGGGTTCGGGAGTCGGTTACGCAAGGGGAAGGTATGAGCACCCCTCACGTCCGTCGTACTCGACGGGATCCACGCTTGGGTTGTCTAGTCTATGGGTGAAAAACAATCTATCTACGACTGCTAAAGCTAAACGGAAAGAAACTGACTCGATAGAGCATCGCGCTCTATGCCTATGTATTCCCTCGTGCAATGGGAAAGTCAGAGTCAACGTAGTTCGGGAAACTACGAGGGGAGATTGCTCGCCAAGACGTCGCGTCTCGTGCCTACGTATTCTCATCTGGCATGAGAAATCAGAGCAAAACGTAGTTCAGGCCAACTACGGGTAAACGAAGGGTGTGTGACCGACGAAGGGTGTTCTCGGTCACACGGGGGTGAGAGAAAGGTTGACGATACTAGCGTACGCATTCTAGCAGTTAGGTGTATGTTGCTCGACCATTGGAGACTTAGGCGTTACCTGTTTGCGGTAGAACGGACGTAGTATGTCGGGGTTTAAAGGTATGGGAACCTACGAGAACTAGAACTACGGTCTGGTCTCAATTGCGCTAGGGAAAGAGAAAGGGAAGATTAGTCGTCAGCGGGAAAGTCTCGATCGCACGACAGCGAGAGAACAGAGAAGTTAGTTGTTAGTGTGCTCGCTAGGATATTGCATCCTATGCCTACATATTGTTGTATGGCACGAGAAATCAGAGCAACTGTAGTTCAGCCAACTACAGCAAAACAGTCTCGATTGCACGGGGGCAAGAGAAGAGAACTCAATTGCCAGGACGCGAAAGAAAATGGGAAGTCTCAATCGCCAGGACACGAGAGAAAAGATTCGGAACGGGACGCACACGCGAAGTCCTAAGACATAGGAGCGAATGCGTCGCATATTGTCCTAAGGACATATACTAAACACTCTAGGCAATTGAGAGGTGGCCACTCAATCATCATTTCCCACGTATCTAAACGAAAACTCACAACACTCGACGGTTGAAAAGAAAGAGATGAAAGAAGTGAAATAAAAACAATGTTCCCGAACAGAGTGGTTCCGTTGACCCTTGACTTTTGCATGCAAGCTCCATTTCCAAGCTCTACTATTTTATCCTTGATGATGATACTTCAAACCAGAACCAATGTGACGCTGAACCGTCATTATTCGACTTATAAAAGAAGTCAAACCCCAAGAGGTAGTGTATTGATATCTGTGTCAAAGACAAGATGGAGAAATGATATTGAGAACCATTCTCCGATTGAATCATGTCACACGGCCAACACAACAAAAAAGCAAAATAAAATCAGAAGAAGAAGAAAAAGATAAGGAGAGAAAAAACGGTCTCGGATCCTACATTATTCATCAACAATCTGATTAATAACGCATTACAGAGGTCTCGTCATCGACCCACAAAAATGGAATGGTGAGAAAAAACCAATGATAAAATGAGATAAGAATTCAAATTCAAAAATTAACATAAAACTTCTAATAAATTCCTAAAGAAATTAAAAAGGAAATGAGAAGCAAATAGAATATAAAAACTATATATATAATATAAAACTAATATTTAAAATATATACAATAATATTCTAATAAGGAAAATAGAACTATAAAGAAAAATAAGTATATAATAAAATAGTAAAATATTTATCAAATATAATACAAAATATACATAAATGTATTTACAAAACAAAAATATCCAAAAATAAATAAATAAAGAACATGGGGGAGGGCACAAACAACCAACAGGGGTGCAATAACATTCTAGAAAGGATACAATTGGGTTTGGCCCAATTCTACAATAAAGACACAGCAGACAAAGGGGTGCACGTGCAGGTTTGGGGGTGCAATTCATAATGCTACGGTTGGGCTAGGCCCAAACCGCAAACAGTAGCTACAAACCAAAGGGAGGGGGTATACGACTGAAAACGGGGTATGGTAAGCAAAAAATCACAAATAGGCCGTGAGGCCCACTAACCGTTCAGAAATAACCTCAAAACACAATCATCTTCTTCATCACCTCAAACAAAAAACCCTAGCCCTTTCTTATCCTCTGTTCTGCCGTTTTCGCAAACAAACCCCTCCGTTCAAACTTCTTCCACGTCCACCCTTTGCCTCTTCCTCTTTACACGTTCTTCCGTCAAACTTAATTTCTTCTCAAATCATTCCAACATCATCATTACCTGCAAAAAGAAATAAAACACAAACACCACAATCCATATGAACATGGATGGATGTTGAAGACAGTTGATGCTGACACGTTTTCTGGAAAACGTTCATGGTGGTGATACGAGCCCTGTAGCTGATGAAGATCCGGAAGATCTTCACGAAGACGAACACAATGATTTGAAGATTGGTGAATAAAGATGTTCTTCAGAGTGAAAAAGCTTTTGTTCTTCCGATCTGAAGTTAATGGTGCGTTAAATCGGAAGTTGTGCTTATTGGAGATTTGATGATGAAAAATGATGGAAGATTTGTTGCGTTTGGTGAAATTTGTTGATTCGTGAGGTCGGAAGAAGATCCGAGTTTGGAGATGATGATGTGATGTTTGAAGGAGTGATGAATCGTATTGTATGACTGTGTTCGAGTTTTTCGGGAGAAATTGTGGTGTGTGTTTGGATGTCGATCTGTAGTTGTTTTGGATCAGAGACGGAGGACTGTTGGAGGTTGATGTTGATTGAAGTTGGATCTGGAAAATGCGAAGTTATGAAGATGATAATTCGCATGATAAATTGATGATGTTCAGATCTAGAGTTGGCTGTTTGGAGGATGAAGTTTGATTTAGATCTGAAGTTGAATGTTCGTAAGGATGTTTAACCAAATCTGGGAGTTTGATTGGTGAATGAATACGGTT